ATAGACTACTATTTTTTCGGCCCAAAAAGTTCCGAGAACGAGCCAGTCGCGGGCTATTTCGGCGGTCCCCAGCAGTGCCGGTTCGCAATTCAAAATTTGCCTCTTTTGTAAAATCTCCAGATTCACAGCAAGGCATACATACACCGGCATACCTCCGGAGCACAGCACAACAAACCTCCTCCGATGGCAAAGCAACTTTGTATATGCTCCAGTAGAGCATGCCGGGAAGCTGGTGGCATGCCCAGCCTTGCCCTACCGTCGGATGACCGCAGGGCGAATTGGCTGAGATGTCTATGCGTAGACGAACAGAGCTACACCAAGCTTGGCGGCCGTGTGTCTCTCGTTCATTTCCACCAAGAATAAATGGAAGCCAACAAGCCGAACCAGAGGAGCGAGTGCCAACCGCTTGCTCACGCACGCAAGGATGCTCTCCCAGATCAGACGGACGAACAGATAAGGGAGGCGACAGCAGGAGCCTTGGGGAGGTTGCGGAAGGCCGAAGCTCGGTGTACTGCCGGGGAACACGAAGCCGGTCGACAACGAGCTAGAGTATTGGACTTGCTTGAACAGTTGCGGCTGAGGGACCACGTCATCTCAGAACAGCAGAGAAATGATGGTGCAAGGGCGGATGACGGCAGGCGTGGGGAAGGCAAAAAGTCGGGGGGGACAAGCGGGAGGGGAGCATCAACCACACGATCCCGAAGCGATTGCAGCCAAGCGCAGCGCGTAGTGTCTGTGGGCTCCCAGATCACGACTGCCTCGAGGTACGTACCACAACAAGATGCGTTGGCGTCATGGAATGCAATGGGCAGTACGATCAAGTCGGGTTGACAGATTGGCACCGGCAGGGTGCCCGGTTGCCGATTGGTGTACTCAGCACTCAGCTTAGCTTACTCATGCACATTGGCATGCACTAGTCCTCGTGTTCGAATTAGCTTCCTCTCTCTCTCTATATATACGGTTCTGTCTCGTTCTCAGCTCGATGTTGTTGCTGAAGGGGTGTAGGTCCACCGCGCCGCATGGTTGTGACTGCTGCGTGAGTACATGTATGTAGTCTACAGCAGTGCATAGTCTCTCCGCAGCCTTCTCTCCCTCTCTCTTGCCTCTTCTTGTGCGTGGAGGCTAGGGTTTCGTGCTGAGTTGCAGCATGTCTACCAGACATTGAGAGCTATTGGAACTTCATCGCAGGACCATACATATATATGTGGATCCGTTCGAGTTGTGGTGCGAACGGGCGGACGATGAGTGAACCGCTGAGGACAATCGACATGATTGAACATTTTCGGGGAGCAAGAACTGCAATGTGCAGTTCACCAGCATTCGAACGAAACGCTTGGCAGCTCGAGACATAAAACTACAGCATAGAAGTGTCAGCCTGGTGAACGCTCTCTCTAGGGTTAGATAATGCACATTGTAGCCGGGACTCGTGTTATGGCACGAACGTTAGTAATCTATAACGAAGCTACGTCGATAGGGCCCGTTAATCGAGAACAAATATGGTATCACAGGGTCGGCAGGTTACAATTTTTACGGAAGAAGGGAAAAAATCGATAAGGAACACCGCTCAACTTCGGGCACACCGTAAGAAACGCCCCAATAAGAAATATGATTGTGCGATACCCCAGGACATAAGAAACAAGGAGTAGACGCTGGGGGAGCGTGTCCAATAATAAACGTCCCACTACTGCTGCTGCTGCCATGCTCCCACCACCTACCCAGCTCATGTCGTGTGAATTTTGGCGGTGGGGAGAGAGAGTGTTTATTTTCGCGGCGCCCCTCGAGCCCCAGCGCCGCCTTAGGGCCGCGCTACCTACCCTGCTGCCGTACAGCTACTGCCACCCAATGTTCGCCACACCGAGCTGCCCAGTTCATTTCTGTTCGCAGGCTTGGTTTGTTGTTGTTTGCTTCGCCCAAACAATAGAAGAAAATAAAATAAGAGAATCAGCAGGATGCGACAGCCCAAAGGATAAAGAAAACCGACTTCAGCTGGTCGTTCGAGCCACAATGGTCCTTCGAGCCATAAAAAGAAATTGAGACTCGACCAGATTTGGAGGTTTCTTGTTTCCGTGCCTTACCTGTATAGACAATATAAGTCTTACCTCAGCAGTATTGGTGGTTCGGTTTCCTGGGCAAGTGCCCCTTACTTTGGTGGGCGTAGTGAAGCAAGCAGTTTCCCATGACAATCCCCTTCTGTGACCGGGAGATAACTCTCTAGCGCTGCATTGTGGTTCCACTCTGACCATCTGCGAAAATATCCTGGCTCGTCTTCTCCCTTTCCTCTGTTTGGCAGAACCTGTTTGCCGCCATCAACGGACCGGACTGTATCGCGGACAACCTCGTTTGGTACGGCGAGGAGGAACGAGATTATGCCTCCAACCCGTCGCGCATCTTGTCAGGAGTGAACGGCCTGTTTTTTTGCTTGGTGGTTATGCGTACAGGTTTGCCTGTTGTCTCGGTCTCGTCCTTGTTCGGTGTAAGTCAGCATACCGGGGGTAACGCCTTCACCACTTGGGTGTCGTTTCTGAGTGGTGCTCTTAGGCCGTTCGTGTGGTTGCCACGGGTTGAAGAGGTGTGGGATCGTGACACCGGTTCGACGGCAAACGCATGTTGGCAGAGGAAGGGCGGGAAGGGTTGTGATTGTTCTAGATGCGACGGAGATAGAGACAGTTCGCGTGTGGCACACTGACCTCGCCTACTACTTGTATTCGCCATACAAGCACAGACCGACCGGGAAGTTGCTGGTTGGTGTGACCCCAAGCGGCACCATCTGCTTCATCTCGGAGCTGTATGGGGGCAGGGTGAGTGATACAGAATTGGTAAACCGCAGCGGTGTTATCAACGACTTGGTGGGCTTGGGCTTCGGGGAAGCGAAAACTTTCCAGGTTATGGCGGACAGAGGGTTCAACGGCCTTGGCATTCAACTGCTAGCAACAGGGATGTCCATTGTTACACCTCCAGGTTCGCGCACTGAAGAGGGACAGTTCCACGCAGAGGATTCGCGTTACATCAGTGACGTGGCCAATCTACGGATACACGTCGAGCGAGCTATTGGGGCGTTGAAACAGTGGAAGATATGCGACAACAAGTTCAGGGCGGTTAGGATGGACACTCTATCCAAGGCTGTGGGATTTTGTGGTGCGCTGGTTAACATGTTGTGTGAGCCTTTCGTAAGCGACAAGGGCTAGGTGCAGATGACATCCGTGACGTGGTTGGCATGCCCTCCCTAGCGCGTGTAGGTGGCGAATTATGTATTTGGGAGTTGCGGTGGAGATGCGTTGTTTTTTGTCTGATCGTTTTTTTTTTTGGTGTTGGTGCTTTCCTTCGTGTGTACTATTCCATGCTTGTTTTGGTGACCGTATACAGGCTTGTTACAAGTGATGAGCGTCGTTTAGAAGTGACGCGATGTTTAATTCTACGCAAGTTGTGCGGTCATTTACAACACCCACCTGTCACGTTGTACGTTTCCGATGGGGGTGCGGAGAACTTGTCGCGAGGTTTTATGCACACTTATTGGGTGGCGACGAAAGACCTAGCGCAACATGTATCTCGTCTAACAACAAATGGGCCCGGTTCGCCGATTGTGACGGCTATGGGTTCAACAATATACACCGGAATGCGAAGTCTGTGTTTCTATGTCGTGTTGGAACAATGCGATGCCGATGATAATCGTTTCTGGAGAACAACATCGATGCCCACATGCTTGGGCGTGGTACAGAATAAAAGGCGTGGTACAGAATAAAAGTCCGATTCCATGAACTCGTCGCATTTCACCAGACCATCAATTCGTCACACTCCAGCAGAATCTGGATAAGGATAAAGGACCATAGTCTCTTCCCACAAACTCCTTCGAACACGCTAACCCTAACCAAGCTACGATTACCCAATGTCGTATTTCATAGTGTACGGCTAGCACTACACAGGTACAGGGATCCATTTCTATCTACGGGATGACGTACAGTACAGTACGACCTGCTCACAAACCCGTGGACTATATGCCGAAGTGTATATGCTTAAAAGGGTGTTCCTCGTCGTCGCGGACGAGGGGTGGCAGAACGTCTACAGCTAGAGATTCTTCTCGGTCCGCACTTTCAACGGCCCCTCTTTTCTCGATCTTTTTGGCTGCCTTGACT